ATTTAAATCATGATTGCATTATTATAGCGATTTTTCACTTACGGTCTCTTTTCTTTATGGTGCTTCTGTGTACGTCACCGCTTCAGGAAAGCATTTCCGACCCCACATTGCTAGATGATTTCGAGTCGTCAGGGTGCCCCCTACCCCTCTTAGAAGTTCTGAAACGCTTAACTGAGACACCCTGTATATCGAATTGAAAACCGTAGAAGTAAAATATTACCAGTTATGATTTGCTTAAAATATAGTTCATATTAAATTTGAGGTAAGACTCTTTCACTCATTTTCATAGCTCAAAAAATTGCAGCTAAAATCTTTTCATGGATATAAGAACCGAATTTACACCATAAACAAACTAGAAAAAAAAAAACAATTAATGAAATTCGCTACCAATTATTTTTTCTGATAGATAAAACATTGCTGTTTGATGTTCTTTGGAAATATTGCACTCTAATTTATAAATATTTATATTTCAAATAAATTACTTTGGTAAAATGATAGATCAAAATAGAAACAAAACTAAACATTTGTGTACCTATATATTTACTAATATATTAGTACTAATATTTTTAATAATGAGAGTTGAAAAAACAATGATTAAAAATAATTAAAACAAAATGAAAGTATCACTATTTATGTATTGGTAAATATCTTACAAAAACGTAATTAAAACAAATTCGGTTTAAAGAAAAAGCACCGAAATATTCGGTGGCAAAGGGTATGGATCCTGTTTAGGAACAAAACCTTTTGTTCACTCTGTCAAAGTTATATAAATTGTAAATATCGCTCATTTGGTTAAACAATGACGTAACTGATATGTTACTAGGCTCCTATACTATCTAAGGGCTCTAATATGTTATAGAAACTATCCGTTACGTCATTGTTTAACCAAATGAGCGATATGTACTATTAAAAAGATTGAAAATAATGATACAAAGTTCATAATTTATTTAAAAAAATAGATTTTGAGGAGCACAATAAACTACGGCGAAATAAAATATCAGGAAGTAGCCATTAACAGTAAAATCACTATTAGAATTTAACTTATTAAATCTCAGCTGTTTAGAGTTTAGAGGGGAAACAAGACGGGAAATGAAAGCTTCTCAGGTTCTATTCTTGGCACAATATCAATTAATTGATAAATGTACTTTAAAAAAAAACATTACAAAAAAAGCTAAAGGAGCGATTTCAAATTAGAAATTTAATTACCATAAGCAGCGAAGTAATTTCTTATATCTTGTTTGCATTTCGATTTTTAGTTTTGGACAAGCAATGTTGTGCTACAGTGTTAAGAGAGTTTTGGTTTTCAGGAGCATTAGTAACGAGATCAGAAAAGAAAGCCTTCAGTAGCTCAGGATTCAAAATGTGCCTTGTTTGATCGCACAGAATACTGAAAATCATGTCTCTGTTTCCACCTTCAATGGATTTGTATATATCTGAATGCAACTTAGCGAGATCTACCAACTCTTCTGCTGGTACATCACTAATACTGTCCACAAACTCACTAAATTTCTCAATAACTTTCAATGCCACAACTTGAGATTCCAAAGTATATGAAGGATGTTTGAAATTCCTTTTGTATCTTTCATTTTTGAACTTTCGAATAATCAGATCCAGTAACAACAGCATTCCATTAGTATCAATACTTTGCATCAAAGAGCTTTCGAAATTTGAAAAGTAATTTTTGACATCAGTAACTTCTGCCTTAAAGGAACTTTGGCTGTTCAAATTTCTACTGATAGAATTTCTTAAAGAATGTGCTAGTTGTAGCGCTGTTAAATTATTAGGTTGGAAATTAAGCTTTATTTTAGTAATTGTAAAATTGCATGGTGCTTCACCTTTGATCTTTTCTCTTCCAATGCAGTTTTTTATCTCTCCGTTAGCTAATTCCATTGTGGCGTTGACTAAATAAATTGACGGCGGTTTATTTGTTATAATGCTAAGTGCTTCATAGTAACCCATCTTGTTAAAAACTTCTAAAGGAGGTAAATCTTTATATTTTCGAAATTGAATTGAATCTTTGTTTTTGTAATAATCATAGATTTTGCTAAAGATAAAATAATAACAATACTTCACTATTGCAAAACCTTCTTCCGTAGTAAGATCAGAAAAACTTGGATATTTATTTATCATTGTTTTCATAGCTTCAAGATTATTATTTCTTATTAAGTATTGCAATGGTAAAAGTTCCTTGTTATCATACAATTTCACATTTGCTCCTCTGTTAACTAAAAGTATGACTTGATCTGTTCTGTCAGATTTTGACGCCAAATGCAAAGGAGTAGATCCATCATCTGCTTTTGCATTAATATTAACATTTTTATCCAGCAATTTTGCAGTAAAATTGGTCTCTGACCTCAAAGCTGCTAGATGCAAGGCAGTAAATCCATCTTTTGATACTGCCTCAGGATTGGAATCCTTTTTTAATATTTCATCGAATACATTCATCTGTCCGGTTGCAACGGATAGTTGAAGAAGAGTGACATTTTCTTTGGAAGAAATACTGACATCAATCTTGTTGTGTTTAAGAAATTCAAGAGCAGCATTTTCCTGTTTGAAATATACAGTCACAAAAAGTGGTGTCCAATTATTATCAGACGTTACTGCATTGACATTAACTTCCTCAACTTCCTTCTTCCCTGACAGAAGGTACTGTATCATATCTATATTTCCTTCCATTGCAGCGAAGTGAAGTGGTGTTAGATTATCTTTATTTCCAGCATTTACATCTACTTTGCCACTATTTAACAATGCATCACATATGCCTCTATCCCCTTTCATGACAGCCAAGTGGAAAGGAGTTAGGCCGAAATTTGACTTAGCATTAACTAAGATCTTTTCGTCTTCAAGCAACAGTTTGATAGTTTTGGGAGTACCGCGTACAGCAAAATGTAGAGACGTATAGCCCGATTTTTCTTTTTGATTGATTTCGATTTTATCTGCTGCAAGTAGATATTTAACCGTAGAGTAGTAGCCCTTTTTCGAAGCAATATGTAGTGGTGTTAATCTATCTAACTTGGTTTGGGCATTTATGCTGGCATTATGAGTAACCAAGAAATATACAAATTTGGAGATTTTAGTGCCTGCAGCAACATGTAATGGTGTAAATCCTCTTTCATCCCTAGCATTTACAAGTTCATCTTGTGTATCATTTGAAAGATATCGCATAGCAATTTTTACGTTTCCACTTTCAGCGGCAGCATGCATAACGTTTCTTTTAGTTTCAAAAACTGCATTCACATTTGCACCTCCTTTAAGTAATTTGGGAATATATTCCAAAGCTTTAATTTGATCTTTACTTCCCACTGCATCATAAAGATCTCGATCAACATCTCGAAACTCTACCTGAGATTTTGTTAAAACGTATACTAGTTCGGCTTTGTTTTCATTAAATTTTCGAAAAACTAGCCTCTGTCTTCCCTGCTCGTCTCTGGGTACTTTAACAATAGGGTTTGCTTGACTCTCCACTTTGACAGGCTCAGTCCACTGACTAAATTTAGAGTAAGCACCATTTTTTCTTAGTTGCACAGCATACCTTACTTTTGATTTCACATCCCAATCTCCATAGTTAGATGGAATAACAGTACCTGAGAAGTCGATATCATCAACAGGTTGTGGCATGTCCTCTATGACATTTAAGACCATGCCTGTTATTTTAGACTTTAGTTCTTTCAAAGCATCTTCTCTCTTTGATATGTCTACATATAACTCATTCTTGACATCTTGAATGAAATCTTTGTTTTTAACTTCATCCAACGTTTCAATGACGTCATTAATTAAACCCTTGTCTCCAGTTAAGGATGCTTTGAAGTCATTGAAGGTAGTAATTAAAATATTGATTTGAACGTTGAACTCTTTGTCTTTGCCTTTCTGATAGTAGTAGTCTGCAAGAAAGCAGTGTTGTTTTAGAAGAAAAAACAGAACTGTTGCATAAGTTTGTGTTCCATAAATTAAAACGTATAGTGCTTGAAATGCTTTTGAATCATCAGCATTTTCAGGAATCGTAAAATTACTCTTTTTGTCCATTAGTTCAAGCAGATATGAGTGCAAACCTTCAGGCAGCCTTACTTTTTTCAAGTAGCTTAGAATACCGTCTTTCTCTGTTAAACGAAATACGAATTGATCTGCCGGCAGTCTGATTATTTCGTCCCTTTTTTCCTGAAAATATCGAGAAAATTTATTTATTTTACTCAGTATTGTTTGTATTTCGAGATTTTTCAGAGTTGCTAGTATGGTTTTAAAACCCCATTTCATCTCTTCTCGAGTTTTCTCAACGCTATATAAAGTTTTAGTTACCATTTTGGTGACTTTTTCCATAGTTTGCGTCATTTTGTCAAGTTTCCTGTCTATCTCACTAAATCTTTTTTCCATAATTGCCTTTATTTCCTCAAAATTCCAGTCATCACATTCCATCGCTGTCGAGGCAATATTTATTCCATATTCAGCTACGTGAGCTACTGCAGATACGCCTGCAGCAATATTTTTTGCCATATCGGTGACAAGAGGAATGTCTGGAATGTCTCCGATTAGATTGGTTATGAGTCCTGTTGTATGAGTCCCATACTCCAATGCCTTACATTTCGTTTTCATAGACTCAATTTCTTCCATTGCTTCTTCATATTCAGCATCGAGATCAGCGTCTCTTTTAGTAACAACTGAAATTCCAACAGTTCTGTTGATACGCATGTTTATGATTTGAAGGTTTTGTTTCTTTATCCATATACTATAACGTTCTGTTCGCAAGTAAATGAGTGAATATTATTTAGGTTTTTATATATTTTATTTCCACCTGTGTTGATTAGAGTTTTTTTTCACAGATGTCTACATTGTTTAGAAAATAATGTCGATGTTCTGATTGGTTTTTAAATTACAGGAGAACATATGTAATTTTCGTATTCTGATAATTCTATTAGGATATGATCAAATGAGGTTTTTCATGAAATATTATTAATCAATCAAATGTGAAACAGTATGTTTGTATGATATTTGTTATTTGAAATCTCATTAGATTTTTGTTAGTGTCAATCTCGAACATCGTGTCGAATGTTTTTATAATTGAAGATTTTTTTCCTTCCATTCTTTGATTTCAGTTCTTAAGGAGAGCAATTTTTATTTTGAAATGTATTTAATCCTATTAGAAAAGTAGATTAGCTTGCTTTATTTAATTTTTATATTTGTTATTTTATCAAATTGACTTCTTCCGGCATCTTGTTCTCATTCTGAACTGCAAAACCTTAAATATAAATAAACTTTTTACTTGGCTATGTTGCTTTTCTGTCAAGTTGCCCTTTATTAGCATTATTAAGTCTAAAAATATTAAGAAAATAATTGGCTACAAAAGCATGAATAAAAGTTAAAGTATTACAAAATAATTGGCTACAAAAGCATGAATAAAAGCAATAATATTAAAAAAATAACGGGATAGCAAAAGCATGAATAAAATAAACTGAACACATAAAGAGACTAGAAAAAAAAGCAGACGATAAAATTGGAATAATAATTTTTAGAACATCAGAGTTGTTGGTTTTACTAGCCCTTGATTCCCACATTGACTCTGATTGAGACTGGATCATTCCATTTATTTCAAAGGTGGGGAAAGTAGAAATTGCTGCGCATTATTTCGGCGCACGTGCTATACAGTAAATCCGATTGCAATATCTTCTTTGAAGACACATAGGCTCCTATTCTTTCTGTAAGCAGATTTTTAAAATTAAAATGACGGCGCCATTTACCAATTTCGGACTTAAATATATATTAACTTATACATTTCTGATAAGTTTTAAATTAATCTGATGTTTTTAAATATCATATTTTTTACACTCTGATTACATTTTTTAAAATCGTAACTAATTTTATATAGTGTCTGAAATATTATTTTATATATCTTCTTGTATTTTTATGAAGTTGAGGTAAGAAAATCTAAGTAAAATATAGAAAGAGCTTAATGAAATTAAAGATTCATCATAATATAGAATTTTTTAAAAATAAAGATGATAAAAACGCATGGGCGGAAATTATTTTATTTTATAAGCATATTTGTATATTTCTCTGTTTGCAAAAGATGTATTTTATTTTTTTATATATATTCCAATCTCTATGAATGGATAATCGTGACTATTCTACAAAAAATAAATAAATAATCAAAATTTATTCTTTAAAATTTAATTTCTTATGCAATTAACAGATATATTTAATTACATAAAAATGCTAAATTAAACGTTATTTCTATCTTCATTTTGTTCAGAAGAAGTTTTAAATACATATTATTGCATTGCCATGTGCTAATAATGTAGAGAACCACCAACAGGAATAAGATGAATAAAACATGAAATCCCATTATCCTTATGCGCATACAAAGTGTAAAGCCCAAAAGTGATTTTGGTACTAATTGATTTTAGGAACTATGTGTTGGCGACTTTTTTTTCACATATCTTCGTCTATATGAACATTGATATATATATATATATATGGAAAACATCACAGCTGTCCAGTTTGTGAGGAAACAAAAATTTAAAAATGCAGAATAGTTCTTTAATTTTAAGAATAAAAAAATTATTTTTCCCACCTTCTATTAAATATCTGCTAAAATATTATTTTTTAAAAACACCTTTTAGTTAGCTATTAAATATCACAATTTCTATTTAGAGGGAAATAAAACCACACACACCGTGATGGCGAACATGGCTACATGGTCCCTTTAATTGATAAGTACCTTTATAAAATAATAATTTTATCTTATGAAAGAAATTATACTTTTATATTATAATTTTATTTTATGAAAGAAAAATATCAAAAGAGTTCAAATACATTTATTTAGTGAGATTACCTCAAGAAAATGAAAATAACGCCACAAAAGTTTATAAATGGATAATTTTCACCAACAATCTGAAATGATATAGTAAATATGAAGAATATTATAATTTTCCAATAGAAACAATAAGTTATTTGTTTGACACACAGATTAAAGATGGCACTATCACATTAAATTATGAATTTGAAGCGTAAGTAAAATAAATATTTTTACTTGTAACTAAAATACATAACATATACCTTTCTTATCTAAGTTTTAAAATTTGAAGTTTTCACTTAATTATTCTAATGCACCAAGTTTTGAAAAAAAAGATCAGGAAAAAAAATCATCACCATTCATGGAATATCTGAGTTTTAAAACCTATTAAAATTATTTCACCAGCAGCAAAAAAGAGCCATAATTACTTTTATGCATTATCCGCCGACGATTTTCGCCAATTTAAAAAAATAATTTTGTCTGTCGTTCAAATTTAAATATTTTCTCATTTTTTGTATGAATAAGTTATATTTGTATTTTCTTTATGATCAATTACTATGAAAAATAAATTTGAAAGATACCAAATAACTTAACGAAATAATGGCGAATAAGTATCTTTTTTTGGCAGAATTTCCGCAATAGCACTGATACTAAAATGGCTGGCTGTTTCCTATTGTCAACAGCTGAACCGTGTCATGTTAGAAACTAAAAAAATAATCACAAAAATTGGTTAACTTAAAGCCTACAAGGAGGAAACAGCTATTTTTTATTTTTAAATTAATTGCCAGTACAAAAACCGTGCAGTTTCGCTTGGTTATTGGCCAATTTCACTGACTTACTGAAATAGATACTGAAATTATATATTTCATATTATATGAATGAAAATCATAAATACCGAAATGAAAATATTCTCATCTTTTGTTTGAAAGATGAAAGTAATAGGCTATGTGCTAAATGAAAAAAAAATTTATTGCAAGAAATAAGCCAAGAATAAAAAAGATTAAGCATGAATGCTACATTAAATTTGCATAAAAAATTTCGAACCAAAATATTTACTTCAAAAATTGAGAAATTTGTGTAATGATTTCATTTCTTTTTACTATCATAAGAAAATAGCCTATTTGCAGAAAATTCGGGGAGAGTTTCATCAGGATACAAGCTTGAAGAAATTAAGGTTTAAGATTAAGGTCATACAATTGTTTAATGATGAGTATTATAAAAGTAGTTTAAATGTATGCAAATAAAATTAAGCATATAGTAGAAAGGAATTGCGTTAAAAATATTGAATTCTGAGTTCATTTATCCTTTTATCTATTTTTTTTGTTGTTGTTTTCTTTTGGGAATTTTGAATTTCCTTTGAGGATATATTTTTTTATTGGAAGGAATAGCTTTCCATTCTTCAGAAGTGGGCAATTCTGAATTGTTAAACGCTTGCATTAGAGCACGAATATTTTTTAAACCATCTTCAATTTGCTGTAAATTTTCAAATGACTGAATGGATTGGGCATCACTAGATATATCCTTGCAATATTGTTCTATAGCTAATTTTTTCTCATTCATGTCTTTCCGAGGTTTTTTATTCATCTGCTTTAAAATAATGTTCTTTTCAGTATTCTTAGAAATTTCGTCATCGTCAATAACCAGCATATTCTCCTCGGATGTACTAGGGCAAATATCCTCTTCGACTTTTTTACACACGTTTTTAAATTTTTGGCATACAAAGTGAATATGCTTGCAGATTACGTATCTTATACTAAAGTCTACACAGCTGCACGACATAGTGTGAATGCATATATTGCAATCTATGCATGCAGTAGTGCAACTACAGCTACTGCTCTCTTTTTCGACTTCATATGTAAAAATTTTTCCATCTTCCTCTTTTGATACGATATATTGTCCCTCATTCATCTGCATAGCTGAATACATACTGGCATCCATTTTAGTGCTTTCCAAATGGCGTTTCATTATAAGTTTGACGCGATTCGTCAGCTTACCGCGTTCAATGGCGATAACCCTATTGATAAGTTTTTTTGCCATTGCCTTCATTACTGTCTGTAAGGATTTGTCCAGTCTTTTCATAACTACACCGCCAGATTCCTCATATTTGATTTGGCGGTGCCACCGTTCTAACTTCATATTCGTATTTATTTTTAAACCCTTTCTAAAGCAATATGCCCATTTTTCTGCTCTGGACATGTAATACTCCTGAAAATAGCTGAGAAAAGCTTCTTCCTCTTTGTATTGTACAAAAAAGTTTTCAGCTAACTTTGAAAAAGTAATTTCATCCAATTCATGTATTATCAGCTTCATGTCTTTTTTCATGTTTTCTCGAACCACTTCATTTTTTACTTTGGAGTTGAGGTTTTTATTTAAACTTTTCATAACATGCCAGGAACATAGCAAATGTCGCGGTTCGTTTTTAAAAGATTTCACCCAGGCATTCAAAAATGTTGTTGTGTCATCGGTCATCATGACACGGGTTACAAAACTTGACAATCTTTGTTTAATAGCATCAAAAAATGGTTCTAAACTCTCAGAAGCAATTCTCTTAGAGAAGAAAATTGCTACTGGCAAACCCTCGTGGTTTTCATCATGGACTAAAATTGTAGTTAGGTGAAACCCATACTGGTTAGTGCCATGGGTGTCATCTAACATGATGCACTCTTTTCCATAAAAATCCATTAACTCAATTTGAGATTCAGTGGCTATTCCTAGCAAAAATTCTTCTTCTTCAATTCCTGGATATTGATTTAGTTTTTCACCGATCGGCTTGTATATTAGAACAGGATTACTTTCTTCCTGCATCATTTTCTTCACAGTTATATCAACTGCCATAGCATCATCGTTATGCATAATATTGCTAACATTAAAACCTTGAGCAACATTGTAAATATCCTGACGTGTAGTAAGTCCTAATCGCTTCGTTGGCGAGAACTTGGCTTGAATTTTGTCCATCACAACACTTATTGGTATCCCAACACCAAGCATATTAGCCAACGTTGCACGGTCTTCTTTTTGCAAGGGAAGTTTTCCTACTTCGCATTTATGACCTGCATGAGTTGATTGATATTGCACAGTTATTTGAGTAGCTTCGTGAACAGTTTCTTTAGTAGCAGTGATCATTGCTGGACAAGTGATGCTAGTTTTTATAGATCCTGTATATTTCGAACGTCTTTTCCTTTCTATTTCACAAGGTTTGTAAATACCACTTCTGTGACATCTGTAATACCGAGTTTCTGAATTTTCCTTTAGTAATGAGTTTTTTAAGATAAAAGAAGAGACAGTTTGCTGCTCGATGTCACTTTTCCACTGGTCAAAATCAGATTGACAAAAAAATACCTTATCATGAAAAGTTAATTTAATTTCAGGATGTTCCGTTTTTATATGATTATGGAGATCTATAATTGTTCGGGTTTTTAAACTGCATAGACCGCAAACTTGGTTGCAAGTTGCATTGTTTATAGAGTGAACATTTCTTTCATGCCGGCGTAGATTACTGTTTTTGGAAAAAGTTTGAACACAATGTGCACAGGAAAATTTATTCACTTTTTGCGAGTTCATGTTGTCAATATTATTTTCGGAAGGCAATATTTTATCCTTATCCATGTGATCATTAACCAAGTTCTGTTCCGAGTCGTCAACATTATTTTCCAAAATCAATACTTTATCCTTATCCATGTGATCATTAACCAAGTTCTGTTCCGAGTCGTCAACATTATTTTCCAAAATCAATACTTTATCCGTATCCATGTGATCATTAACCAAGTTCTGTTCCGAGTCGTCAACATTATTTTCCAAAATCAATACTTTATCCGTATCCATGTGATCATTAACCAAGTTCTGTTCCGAGTCGTCAACATTATTTTCCAAAATCAATACTTTATCCGTATCCATAAATTCATTACCTAAGTTCTGTTCCGTGTCGTCAACATAGTTTTCCGAAGGTGGCCCTAAAAAGAGCCTTTTTGTTTTAAAATCATTGGACATAGCACAATGTTAGCAATCAAACCAACGCGTTATGTATAAACTTGATAGCCAAGGATGAGAACATGAGAGTCAGGGTTGCCAGACTTTGAAATTAAAAAGTACTACAACTTTATCTGAAAAAATACCATAAAATACTACATATTTTTGAACGCCATCTGCTGCAGTAATTTGGAAGTATAAATAATATTAAAAGGATAAAATGCTATTAAATGGATAATAATACTATTAGAAAGATAAAATAAAAGGATATATTACTAAGAATAAAATAATTTTAAAATAGAAAAACAATTATATTTTCCCTTTTGTGCACTTTAACTTCAGGTGAACGCGTAGTAACAAAGATTCAAATCAACAATTTTGTCTAAAAAGAATTGTGTGTATCATAAATGTCTCTTGTGCATTGTAAATGATTTATAACAAATTTATAGAAAATCAAACATTAAAAAAAAATCCCATTTTCATAACATATTCTACATAGGAAGAAAAAGCGTAAAGTCTGTTTTGGTTGCACAAAAAGCAAGTTATATTACATTATAATCTACAAACTAGGAATAAATCAACTTTTATTTCTTACAATCATCACTAGATAAAGTGACTAGTACAAAACGAACGGTTAGTGGTACAGCTTGATTTCCACGGCGACTGCTATTTAAAACATCGCCAGGCTTGAATAATTTGCATTTAGTTTGTGGCTTCCATATCTAACAGTTTATCATGGTCACTGTAAAAATCGAGATGTATCCAGTAGTCTTATTTCAAAAATCGCTTTTTACTTCAAAAAACTAGAGTGGCACTTCTCTTTGATATAAAAATTAATTAAAAAAAAAAAATTTTTGTACAACACTTTTTAAAAAAAATACTATATAGAAATGTTATTTTATATTTTATTATTAAAATTATTTATCTTTAATTTTTAGTGAAACAATACTTACCATACGTATTATTGAAAATACTACTTATGGCAACCCTGGTGAGAGTAAATCCGGCGCATGCGCAGCAATTTCTACTTTCCCCACCTTTGAAATAAATGGAATGATCCAGTCTCAATCAGAGTCATAGTGTTGGTTTTTTAGAGTTTTGTTTTGGAATTTGAGTTTTCTTAAAACCCGTTACGGGTTTTTCTAGTTTGTTTTATAAGATTCTAACTATTCCGTTACGGGTATTTCATATTTGTTACTGTTAGTGTTGTTTGTGAATAAAAGTTTTTTTTTTAAATAAGAATCAGAACTGTTATTTATATAGCTTGATATGTTACAGCATCATCATGTTTATTTCTTTTGTTTTTGTACAGGGGTTGGACAAAATAATGGAAACTATTCTAAACTGACACATTTTCAATCTTTCTCAGAAACTACATAGTGAATCATTGTATGAATTTAAAAGTATTTGGGTTTTGAGATTTATCCTACATATCAACGAAGTTAAAGCATTTAAAAGTTTGAGTAACCGACAGTGAATTACAAACGGAAAAAATTGTTTTTGAACACCCTATGCTAAAAAATATTGCAATAGGTTTGTAACTTGTGGCAGTTATTTTGTTCATTTTATGCAAGAAGTTCACAAAATTTCGTAAAGCTTGCTTGAATGTTTATGGAGATATGGACATTTTTACAAAAACTATTTTTTGCCTTAGGTGTTTTTGTTAGATCTTTAAAAATATTGAATACAATTTTTGAGCAAGTTAAAATTAACTACAAAATTATTGCTTTGAAATTTTAGAAAAATTCTCTTTAATACTGCTCACGATATGAGTAATTAAAGTAGTTCCTTGCATGCTGGAGAAAATGTAACTTTTTTTAAAATTTTGTACTGAATCGTATTTGGCAACTAACAAAGATAGTACAATTTAAATATTTCAAAAATTTAAAAAGTTTCAGCAAATTTTCGAAGTACTTTTTAGAATAAAGCCCAAAATGATAAAGAGTTTTTAACATATTTTATTTTGTATTATTAAGCAAGATTTTATTGTACTATTAAACAAGATTTATACTCTAAAAAAATGACACCGGCATTTTTGGGAAATATCTTTTCTTCTTTTCGTTTTTTTTCCTTATTAAATTTCATTTTGGGGTATGAACGTTAATTGTAAGGTATTATCATTTGTTGTTAAGTTCTGTCTTATGATGTAAAATAATATTTGTAGAAAACCCCATATCATTTTGAACTTTCTTTCAAAGTGTTCAGAAACTACTTAGAAAATTGCTAGAAACTTCTTTCATAAGTTGCCAAATACGATTCACTACAAAATTATGAAATTTTTTTTTCTCCCGCATATGCGAGTGTAAAAGAAATACTTTAACTACTTATATATTGCACAGTTCTAAACGAATATGTTTCGAATTTTAAGGCAAAAATTTTGTAATTAATTTTAAATTGCTCTAAAAATTTTGTTTAGTTTTATTGAATATTTTTAAAGTTGCATCGAAAAAACTTAAGACAAAAAAATTAGTTTTATTTTGTCTTAATTAGTTTAGAAGACTCCTACTGTACAAAATGGTAACTGGTGCTAGGTGTCGATGTCGCATGTTACTGAAAGTGAAGAACGCTCGTTTTGAGAGCGTTTTCTTGGCAACGCCTTCTGCTACTTCATTTTGTAGCTCCTCCTCATAATCGTTTCTCTGTAACTTGCTCACAAAATACAAAGCTATCATAAACTAATTCTTAAATTTATAACGATTATGTTTCTCATATTATGCTTACGTCACATGAAAATGAAATGACGTCATCAATGTTCTTTTAATAATGACACATGTATTTAAAAAAAACATAATGATTAAACATAATGCTTTAAAGAAATATATAAGAAAGGTATATAAAGAAATAATAAAAATATATAAAAATAAAGATATATAACTTAAAAATAATTAATAATAATACCTCCCTCTTAAAATCTGAGAAAATACCAAAATAAATCTTTTTTACAATTTTTCTTTTAATGTGCCAACATCATATAGAAAGTGATAAATGTGAGATGACATGTAAAATGAACGCATTTAGATTAATTTCCGATATTCAATGTCAAGAAGGTGCATTGCCACTTGCTACAATTACCTGAGCTGCCAAAAGCTTTTCCTTCATGATATAAAAAAGAAGAAATCTTCATGATATAGAAAAGAAGAAGAAAAACAATTATAAGCTTCAAAGAAATATTATAGTTTCTTTAAGAAAAATTAACAGTAGATGTATGAGAATGCACTTGTTGAAACTTTTTTAGACACAACAAGTATGCAACCGATAAATAATTCAAGTATGTGAAAATGCTAGGACGAAACAGTTTAACGAAATAGGTAGTTTCTTTAAATTCTGATCCGGTCTTCTCAGAGACCACTTTGAATCCCATGAATGCTAAAGCATTCATCCTGCACTCGTCGTAGCATATTTACCACTGCAAAATTACAATTATAATTCACTAGTGTATGAGACATGTTAACTCTATTCTATGTTGGGGTACCTTTTCATAGATGACGGTTGACATTGTCGATAACAACTCTTCNTACAATTACATTTCACTAGTATATAAGACACGTTAACTCGATTCTATGTTAGGGTACCTTTTCATAGATGGCGGTTGACATGGTCGAAAGCTACCAGTCCTACAATTACATTTCACTAGTATATAAGACACGTTAACTCGATTCTATGTTGGGGTACCTTTTCATAGATGACGGTTGACATGGGGTAAAGCTACCAGTCCTACAATTACATTTCACTAGTATATAAGACACGTTAACTCGATTCTATGTTGGGGTACCTTTTCGTAGGTGACGGTTGACATTGTCGATAACTCCTCGCCCCACATTGGTGACCCGGACGTGATGTGAAACGCCTTACTTGACAGTAACGCCCACTTCGATATGAACACGCCTATCTTGACAGTAACACCCACTTCGATCTGGAAACGCCTACTTCGATGGATGGTCCACATTGAGCAGTTGACTTGCTACTTGTGACTGTGACATTATCCACCTCCTCGTTCTGTTGCTACTCAGTCTCGTTTCGATCACGCACAACGTCGGCTTGCATACATTCGACTGCTAACGGCAATACAGGAGCGTCTACGACCATGAAGTTAATACACCTCTCACATTCAGCACTCAAAGCATGCGGTGATCTTAATACAGCTCTCCCGGCTTATCACAAAACAACAATGAATCAATGTATCTGTTCATCGAATTCTATCACAGTTATAATTCTGGTGGGGGAGTACTGTAGCGTATTTACCACTACAGAATTACAATTCACTAGTATATAAGACATGTTAACTCGATTCTATGTTGGGGTACCTTTTCATGACGGTTGATATTGTCGATAATTCCTCGCCCCACATGGTAATAAATGTATGATTAAACGCTTCAGGTCTGTCCTAGTCTGTATCACTGGTTGTTCCAATACTTTTAGCTAGGTAGTGTATACCAATTCTCTGATTTTATTCTAATCGGATATCACTGAAAATCTTTATAGTAGTATTATAAAATTAATCTTTTTAATTTAAATCTAAAAAAACTACAAAAATCGTGTTATTTCTTTTTTCATGAAATTAACAAGTCTGGACTTAAAGGAATCGTAATGGTTTTTGTATGCGTATTTTCGTTAATTTCAATTTTTACTTTTTTGTTAGTGTAATGAATTTGGAAGTCTTGAATTCAATTATACATAAGTTAATATTTGCCTCATATGTAAGGTGGTTCTCAAAGCAAAGAAAATGATTCAATCGGTTCTATTACGTATAACGCTCTGCTTTGACTATGCTTAGGAAAGGGAAAATCTCTTCGCTCGAGCCTCTCTTATTGTAAATATTCACCGCAAAGATGAGGCTTTTATGAAGAAAATATTTAAGTTTGGATTGAATTTCTGTTAGCAGTTAACTTAGCTACGTCGAAAATGAAAATTTGACAAATTGTTCACTACGCGGTAGAGAGAAAAGGATAGCATGCATTTTTTATTTATTTAAAAGGCCTAAAATAATAAACTACATTCATTATACTGCTCTTTAAAAATGGTAATAATAACATATACTTAATAACAACAAAAACATATCATACTTACAGGTTGTCCCAAAATCAGAATCCTTAATATACATTTTTAAAATCAAAGTCCGAAATAGAGTTAATAAACAGTAAGCACGTTGGAAACAGCTAATTATTATTTAAGCGAGGAATAAAATAGCAAATGAAACATGACAGATTACTCACTAGTAAAGAAGGTAGGATTTTCATAACAATAAAACCTGTTTGATTGTCTAATATAACTTGAAAAATTTTTAAATCATCAATTTTTTAACTCCTTTTTCAGAGCAAAAATATTTTGTAATGTTTGAATCTCTCAATTACAAATTAATTCAATAGCGCTTTGTTTTTACCCACTTAAATAAAATGTAACTTCAATGAGTAAAATTCATTGACTGATTTATTTATTTATTGTTCTGATTATAAGAAATATATATTACAATTGGTTTTATTCAGCATCCTGTACTCTTGTATACTTCTATTAAATTATTTCCTTACAAATTGTATTGTAAGTAAACTTCATAAATTTTATTTCTTACTCTGAGCAGTGTAAAAGATTCGAACACTTTATAGAAATTTCGTATTTCAGATAAGCTAAATTTGTTTCAAAACCAGTGTCCCAAGAAATAAATGGAATTTTGAAACAAAAGCTTCTGAGTTAATCCATCGAATAAAGGCACGCTAAAGGTCGTTTCCTTATCATTCATTTTCATGCGGTAAAATCCGTAAATGCTGCTTCCTGTTGCTCGAGATCGAAAGTGAGGCACGCATTCAGCTATTTCACTGCTTTGATTAGTCTGGTTAAGCTAATTA